CCACAGATTCCTCAGTGTTTCGAGCTTCAACTGATGGACATGTCTCCATATCCAAGTTCTTTAAAGTTATCTCATGCGTCTCAAGCTTATCCTTTAAACACAGCTCTGCATCTATTGTTTTCAAGGATAAGTCAACGTTTTCTTTTTCTGCAGGCGTGCTAATCTCCATGTCTTCTTTCTCATTACCCATAAAAGAGTTTCTCAGCTCTGCATCTATTGTTTTCGAGGATAAGTTAACCTTAACCTTTTCCTTTTCTGCAGGCGTGCTAATCTCCGTGTCTTCATTCTCAACTTTCTCATTACGCATGAAAGAGATATAGCTTTGTTTGTATTCCAGAGATGATAAAGTTTCTTCCTTTCTTGGTGAGAGAACCTCAGACACAGCCTTCTTGTCAACAATTTCGTCGAGTGAGTCATGGCTTTCGACTGTTGCTGATTCACTACTTTGCTCACCTTCAGGTTCAATGCATCTAACTTCTTTGCATGCATCTTCCAGTTTTTGGTCAGTTATTTGAGCCATCTCCTCCCAGCCATTGCACAGGTTGTACCCCGAAAATTGAGGGGTATTATCATCCAGCAGGAAATGATCTTCGTCGTCAGAATTCTCCAAAAACTCAAAGTGCCTCTCGGTTAAGTTATTAATGATAGTAGGTTCTCCAAGATTTGTTAAATCATAGCTTCTTCTTCGGAGATCTGCATCAAGATCCATGGAGCTTAACATGGACTGCTCATCCATCCTAGAAGACCGCTCTTCTGCTGATCTAAGTAAATTCTCCACCCGGGATTGAGCTAGATCCCGCTGCCATTTTAATTCTTTCATTTGTTCCTCCATCTGCAGGTTGTTGCCAGAAGTTTCAAGAATTGAGTAGATGTCTTAATGGAAAAAGGAGAGTAAAGTTATAAGAAACATTCAAAAGAGTGGAATCACCTTTGCAATCACTTCCTCTTTCTGTTTCAGCAATGAATAGAAGTCAGCGCCTGCAGAAGAAGCAGATCCTAGATTCTTCAACTCATTCTCCATTCGAGCCAGTTCCTGTTGCAGTTGCCTCACCAAAGCCTTCTCAGACACAACCAGATTGACCTGAGCATTTGTTGACACCTCTTTAGCGCAGGTTGCAAAGAGAAGGGTGTTTCTCGACTGTTCAACATGACTACGAGCAGGGCTCATTGTACATATGATAGCCGTTCTCGCATTCCCCCCCAATGAGTTCTGAAGGATTCGAGTTAGCTTTGAGTCTCGAAACGGTATGTGCCCGTTTCTACCTTTGCTGCACTTCAAAGTAATTACACTTCCTGTTAGAATACCTATCTTTGGTAGAAGATCTCTGAGAATAAGTAACAAAATCGAACCTTAGTTTGCGGATGACAGTTCCAAGAGTAAGTAAACTCCGGTTTATATGACAACCTTCTTTCAATCTTGTTCCAGCAGATAAAGTCTGAGAAGCACGTTCACTTCCAGCCAGATCAACGAAGCACTTGAGAGGAAGAGAATCAAAAAGAATTCTCATCAGAGAAAAGAAAGAGATCAAAAGTTCAATCAATCAAAAACACTTCTCATTATAGTTGTATCATACCACAGATGCTGCAAGAGTGCTGGAGTTTTCCGGATAATAGTCTCGACCAGAGCTTTCAATTGTCTGCAGGAAATACATTGTTTAGCATTGGCGAGGACCTTTCAAGAATGAAAAGCTAGAATCGAAGAAAAAAGATGAATAAGTTGAGTTTACCAGCCGGAGAATCTGATGTGATCTGGAGCTAACTTCATTCAAGGAGGTTTCTCCAATCTTCCTCTGAGCTGCAACAACACAGGTCTATACGTTAGTTAACATTCCACTCATAATCAATTTAGATACTTTGTAAGCACGGCGTGTTACTCACCCGCGCAAATTGAAAGAAGTTCCTCTAGATGGGTTCTGTCTCGGAGGGTCTCATCGATTAGTTTCTCGACGACTGTTCCTCTCTGGTGAAGCAAGGGGATGGAAATGAGTGGGTCTCATACAATATGTGAGTGTATGGCATAATAATCCCTAAGTAAGTGAAATAACCTCTGGATCATCTAGAAGCCTCAATGGATTATTATCTCCACTAAGGAGATCCCTCACAGCTTCATTGTAAATCTCGATTGCAGAGAATTTGAGAGTGAATTCGCGTTCTTGATGCTGAAGAAATTAAGCGAAAAAGAAGAATGTTGGTTTGGTACTTATGAATTAAGAAACGAGGGAGAGAGATGTCAAGGCTTTCAGGTACCTTGTGAATGTAACCAAATATGTCATCCATTGCGAATTCAGTGATGCCGGTCATAGTGTACGTTTTCCCGCTGCTCGTCTGTCCATACGCAAAAATGCTTGCTGCAAAACCAGATATGTCAACAACAACTACAAAAAAAACATTGGCACAAAGACAAAACAGACCATATTAAGCTAAGGTTGTTCTTTATTACAATTGATTCCGCCGAGGACACACAGGGCAACCTCCTTGGCTCCATCTTCGTAGACTTGTTTCGTTGGGGAATCGAATCCAAACACTTTGTCTGAAGATATGAAAAACTTGTATTCTTAGCATCATTAAATTATACAATGGTTGTTAATTCTACATTTTGAATATATATTTTTGAACATGTTACCAAATGTATAGGTAGAGGGGAAGAGAGATCTTTGGTCAGGCAAGTTATTGTTACAGACAATTGTTGTGTTGTTGACACATTCCCAATCGCAGATATCGTTCCTCGTCTTCTCCTTGTCGTTCCGCGGCCTTACCCTTACCGAAACCAATATCTTCTCTCCCTTTCCGCTACCATTTGCCATTTTCTAAACCCTCTCTTTCTTCAATACATTACCACCAGAAAAAAAAAATGCAGCAATTCGGAATCCCTTTGCTATGTGAGAAAGAAAGAGAGAAAAAAAATGTTTTAGATTGAGAAGAAAATGGAATTTAAGAAGGAAGAGGATAGAACTAGAAGGCAACAACAAAAAAGAATCTGTAATTAGAAGAAATGAATGAATAAAAGGCTAAAAGGCTTATTGTGGGTGTTTCTTCTTTCCTCTAACAAAACATCTAAATTTTCTCTCAAACCTAAAATAAGAATGTGGACAGATATGTACCCCTTTGGCTAACGGTACAAATGTATCACCTCTGTGATCTGTTTGAAGCTCTTAACACTGCCCAAAAAGATCAAAATACAGAGAAGCCAAATTTGTATCCAATCAAAATATTTTATGCATTGCGTTGTCAAAACACAACTTTAGAGCATTAGTGGCACTTATTAATAAACCACTTTTATGTTCTATAATCCCAACCATCTTTCCACATTCTTGCAGACAAAAATATAAAACCTCATTATTTCAACAACAATTTTTTTTTTAAGATAGGATCGTAGGTCTTATTCAAAATATTCATTAAGATCCCTATATTTGACATTTGAGTTTCTAACACCCTTGATTTTTAGAAATATAATGTTGTTTTATGGGAATTTATTTTTAGAATTGATTTGGTTACACAATAGCATTAAAGTACATTTGACTTTGTTGGAAGTTCTTTCTTGAAGAAATTACATTTAATCATAGTTGATCTAAAAATGTGGTCATACCTAAAATCAGTCGACATTTTTCTTAATTTTTTGGAGTAACACATTGATCGTTGGACAAAAATGGTACCCACAAATCTAGCGTGGTTTGAAAAAGGAATAGGCTCACATATGGAGATGATTGTTGCATTATACAGTAAAGTGATATCACAACCAAACCTTAAAGCAATGTACGTTCACACCAATTGTGAATAAAAACAGTTTTGGTACACACCAAATACATCATGGCTCTGTCTGTGACTAGGGAGGGATGATGATAATTTCTAAATTTTTGAAACATGTTTATTATGCAAATTCCCTTGAAAACTAGACTAGGATCAGTACTTGTGCAGGGTTTTTTCAGTATATATATACAACTGTTAAAAGCTTATGAAAATTGTTTTTATTAAAAATATATATAACTTTTTTTTGTTTTTCATTTGATAACTATCTTGTAAATATACTTTCCATTGATAACTGTATAAATTGCATTCGCAAGAATTTGAATTCCGTACCTTCTTCTAATGTAGAACTCAATAATTGTTTTGAAGCAACATTTCATCTTTGTCTTCTCGATCACATGATTTTACCAGAGTAACCAAACCCAAAAAAAAATCATCTTCACAGAGTAACC